TTTGTCAATTTTAAATTGAACCACTTTTTTGTGAAAAAATTGAAAAAATTTGAAATTTTTTTTCTCTCAGAATAGCTAGATCGATTCGTCTTTTGATTCTGATAAAGAATATATATGATTAATGGGGTCGGAAATGACTCCTTCACTGCATATGTCTCTTTTTTAGCACTTTTGGTTAAGAAAAGGTTTTAAAATAAAAGGAAAAATATTTTTCAAAACCAAAAACATTTTTTAAAACCCAAAATACACAAAAAAGGTTAAAACCCTTATCAATTTAGTACCTACAATCTTGACCATAACTATTATTTGCACCGCAGCTGTTGGCTTATGCGGTATATGCGTGTGTTTGTGTTTCTGTGTGTGTTTGTGTGTGTCTCTGATGGAGAAGAACCCGTGTGTAGGGCCACTAAAGAAAACTAACAAGTTACAAAAGCAAACCATCTGGCCAACGATGGCCAAAGATGTCGGAAGATGGGACTCTGGCAGAAGTAGAACCAGCTGGAGAAGCTGCAGAAAAGCAGTTGGAGGAGCCACATCCATATGTAGCAGCAGCTTGGAAACAAGAAAAACTTGAAAGGCCAAGAAAAACATTTAGTAGATGATGAAAATCATGGCAACATCAACTTGAAGATGCCACACAACTGTGTGGAAACTAAAAGAAGAGAGAGAAGCGAGAAGAGGAGGCTCCTCACGATACCATTTAAAGACACTTGTACACATCGACTTAAAGCGCTAATTGTTTCGATTAGCAAAGCCTAAAGTGTAATAATATATATATATTTAACTTAAAAGAACTTTAGCACAAGTCAATTGGCATTTTAAAGTCACTTTGCAAAACTTGATTGTACTCTTCTTCCTGGTTCTAGTACTTTTCTCAAAATTTATGGTATCTAAAGAAGCTGAGGAAGCATTTGTGTATCTTTTTAAACTTCACATTCATTAGTTACGAATAGAAAAGGCCCAAGGAGAGGTTCGGAGAAGGAGAAGCACAGCATCCAAAAACCGGGGATAAGTCTTAGTCGCCTTATCATTTATCTTGGACCTCGGGCCAAATGTTTTCTGGCCTGCCAATTTCGCGTGTCTTGAATGAATGGATTGGCGGTGGTGGCCTCAGGGGGATGAGGGAGAGTGTTGGTAGGAAAATGGGGAAAATTGTGGAAAGGACGGACGAGTTGTTCATTTGGTTTGGTTTTGCGCTTGTTGGTCATATCAAATTGCTTTTGCTTTTGCTTTTACTTTAGCTTCTTCTTTTTTGCCTTTGCCTTGGCTTTTGTGGCCTGTGGCTCAGCGCGTGCCTTCCTCAATTTTCCCGCCGAGTTTTCCGCACCACTTTTTCCCTGCTGCGACCCCTGCTTTAACCCACACATCAAAATTGGATTTGGCCAAGTTAAGCAATGGCCATTGAGGGAGTTAAAGCTTTTGTCGATTATTTTTAATGGATTTGCTGCCGCATTTTCTCTATCTCTTTTTTTTTTGCTTTGCTTGCTAACCAAGTGTAATTAAAATTAAAATTAATATATGAGCTGACTGCTCTAATTTGATGGCTCTTTAGATAGTTCTAGTTGCTGGGAATTTAAAGCAATTAAAATGTTGGAAGCTTAAAAAAGAACCCCATATAAAATGTTATATAGTATCTTTTAAAGGTTAACCTTATTTTCTATCCCTAAAATTCCTCTTAAAATTCCAGCAAGGCCTTAAAAAAATGGCCTTTGTTAAGCTTGTAAAAAGAATTAGGACCAGTTAGCTTTTTACAACTAATTGCTGAAGGAGCAGATCCCTCGATAAATTGCATTAGACCTTGTGTCGCCTTGAGAAGTACCAAATTAAATTTAGCTTACTCTCCCTCAAGTCCTTGGGATTAGAAATATAAATTGCTGTACATGTCCAGCCAGGATCTAAACTAAATTTTTTAAATTATTTTCTGCTGCCTTATTTTGTTCCCCTAAATTGTATTCTCTTTTGCTTAGCCAAGGGTCCCTTTTGTGTGTTGTTAATAGTATTTTCCAAGTGAATGGTTGGGGACCTGAATGTCGTCGTCTCAGTACTTCAAAACGCAGAAACCTGGCAACAATTTGGCAATTGATTGGAAAAATATTTCTAACACGATTTTCAGGGGGGTTGCTTTCCTCGCTCTCTCTCTTGCTTTACTTTTTTTCCCCCCTCTTGCAGGTCTTGAAGGATCCTGTAAACTAATTCAATTATTTGCGTACATAATTTAAGGGCCGTGTCCGAAAGCGTTGAGCAAGAAATTTATATGCAAAACACGCATAAAATTGCTTCTCTTTCGCATCTCCCTTGCCTGGCCCTGCCGTGGTTTTTCACTTGATTATTTATGAACACGAAGCGTTGGAAAATAATTGAAGCAAACTCCACTGTGTTGCCGGGGGTCCATTTTAAAGTAATCAGGGGAAAATGAAAGGCCTATTTTCAGGTCAGTACACCCCGCCCACTTCACCACTCAAGGCTGCAATGCAGAAAGTTCTGTGTTTCATGGCCCAAATGTGTAAAACATGTTCGCCAAGTGACAATTAAGCCAATTTGAAGCCATTTAGCGGGCCAACAGGAACGCAAACAAAACAAAAGCCAAAAGGCAACAATTGTGGCGCAATCTGAAAGTATACTCCATAGTATATATATATATAACTATGTTTGTATATAGAAAACAGAACAGAACGGAACAAAATGGGTACAGAAGCGGGTCTTGATTTCTAACCAAACAATGCTTTAATGGTTACCGGTCGCCGGCGAACAAAGCCAGACAATCAAATGTAATTACACGCACATAAACACGCAAAAGACGCGAGTCTCGAGGCTAAGACTTTGAGGTTTAGTTCAAAGATCCACTGGAAAAAATATTACAAATTAATATACAGAAAGATTACGGAATTCAGAGGGAATTGGTATATCCTTGAAGATGCAAATCTTCATAACTCAGCAAAAATGCATTAATTTCTATTCGGAAAGCGTTGCCAAGCTAGTTTTTATTGGTTAAAATCTGCTTACTTAATTTAACATTTTAAAAATTGAATTTTTTGACTATTTTATAAAGTTTTAACTTACTTTTTTTGGAAAAAAATATTTAAAAAATTTTGAAACTTTTTTTCAACGAAAAATGTCTAGATTAATTCAGCTTTTAATGCTGATCAAAATGCTGATCGGAAATGATTCCTTCACTGTGTTTTAAGCTTTGAACTGAAATTAAAAGATTTTTACAAAGATAAAACAATTTGGCACTATCTTTAGTTTTCATTGCAGTAAAAATGTAAAGTTAGATGAAATAATTATTAGAACTTTTTTAAATATTATTTTACTAATAAATCTTCCTAAATAATATGTGTTGTATTAATTAGACTTCCTAAAAATATCCAAAACTATCTATGCATTTTATAATTCTTTACTAAAACTAAAGAATTCTATAAGATTTAATGCATATACAAACAAAAGATAGATAAACCTAAAGTCTTTTAATAAAAGCTGTTCTACAGTTTCATATTAGAAGACCTTGTTATTTATAAATACTAGAAGGAAACCACAACTTAATTTATAAATTTATTTCTCTGTATAACCGAGACACCTGAACCCGCTTAGACTCCAGCAGACCTTTCATAAAAGGTAAACCCGGTTGGAGAATCACGCAATTTACTATAATTTGCAGGAGGAGTAAAGGTAAAAGGAGATTGCGCAAGGCTAAGACGGTGGAATTGTGGCCAAGAGGACAGAGAGAGAAGGCTACCAGAGACCGTGGGTCGCCTGCTCCAATTTCTCGAGATTGCGGCGAGTAAAGTTCTTGAGAGGACTCCTCCTGCTCCTGCTCCTCCTGCTGCTCCTGCTCCTACTGCTCCTCCTGCTCCTCCTGCTGCTTCTGCTCCTGCTCCTCCTCCTGACCTCCCTTTGCTCTTTTTTCCTCTTGTCCTCCTGTCAATGGTCGGTCGGCGAGTGCGAGTTTATGAGCAAAGTCATTAGGCAGCTGGCGACACTTATCCAGAGGGCAGTTAATTACAAAGTGGTTGCGGTGGTGGAGAGGAGGAGAGAAGACTCCAAGAATCCGTGAAGTGGAGTGGTGCCCGGGAACAGACATAATTTCACGCCATTTGTGTTGCATAAGAGGCCACTAATGTTGGACTATGACTTGCAGTCTTTTAGCTCTTCCAACTTGGACTCTTAACTTGTGGATAGATTCGAGTTGGAAGAGTAAAAAAGTAAAAATAATATAAAGGGAGTGGAGGTAAAGGGAAAACTGTGGCCGGGAAATTACCTGATGACAAAACGTAAAAAGTCAGAAGCAGAAGAAGAAGTTCTTATGTGTGGAGAATGGAATGCAGTTTATATGGTTTAATTATAGGAAACTTTGTATCAAAAGAGTTGGATAATTAGATTGAGCTAATTGTTCCATTGAAACCAAAGAGGATAATATCAGAAGAGGTCCTGGTTTAGCTACCAACATAAAATAATAGTCTTAACAATTATATTCAAAAGAGACTCAAATAATTTGCCCCCCCATTGAATACTAATTAATTTATTAGTTAATTCAAGTATTAAAAAATATAATTTCTCAAAAGATATCTCCTTACCCCATCAAGTAAACCCTTTGAACACAATTCTTACTCAACTCAACTGCAAATTATACCCACAAAAACCAAACTGTAACCCCACGTTTTTGGATACGGATAATGACCCTTGCGCAGGATTTTGGGCCTGGGTCGACCTTCAGACACTTCATTAGTTTAATTAATAATTGACAAATTTCGTGTCTAATCAGAGACCAGCTTGAGACTAATCATGACCAGCTCCTCCACAGCTCCTCTTCAGTTCCCATTTTCCTCACTGATTAATTCAATTAGAAGTTTTGGATTATGCCGCCTGATTATGCCAAAAATGCTGCGTGTTTATTAATTTTCATGCTCTCGGTGCTCGGTGGTTTGCTTTGATTCCTCCACTGATTTTGCCTTTCTGTGACTTGACTAATTTTCGCTGTTATTTTTCTTATTTTTCCGTTCCAGATTATCCCCGCGTCGAGGTTGGACCAGAGAATCCTTTGCGAGTGGAACGTGACCGGACTGCCAAGCTGGAGTGTAACGTGGATGCCAAGCCCAAGGTGCCGAATGTGCGATGGAATCGTAATGGTCGCTTCATCAGTTCCTCACTGGTCCACACGATCCATCGGGTGAGTGTCGGGGATGCTGGCAAATACACCTGCATAGCGGACAATGGTCTTGGCAAGACGGGAGAGCAAGACTCATCCTGGATATCCTGTATCCGCCCACGGTGGTGATTGAGTCTAAGACTAGAGAGGCCGAAGAAGGTGACACAGTGACCATTCGCTGCAATGTCACGGCCAATCCCTCACCGGTGACCATCGAGTGGCTGAAAGAGAATGCTCCCGATTTCCGTCATAGTGGCGATGTTTTGACCCTAAACTCTGTTCGAGCTGAACACGCCGGCAATTACATTTGCCGAGCTGTGAATATAATGCAAAGTCAGGGTATGGAGCGAAGTGAACGCGTGGGTAACTCCACGGTGGCCCTACTGGTTCGTCATCGTCCTGGACAGGCGTACATTACACCCAACAAACCGGTGGTTCATGTGGGCAACGGTGTCACACTCACCTGTGCCGCCAATCCCCAGGCTGGCCAGTTCCCCAATACAGATGGTTCCGCGACATGGATGGTGAATTCTCAAGCACTCAGAAGATCTTGGCTCAAGGTCCACAGTATTCTATACCCAAGGCTCACCTGGGCAATGAGGGAAAGTATCATTGTCATGCCGTGAATGAACTGGGCATCGGTATGATGGCCACCATTGTCCTGGAGATTCATCAACCACCTCAGTTCCTGGCCAAGTTGCAGCAGCATATGACAAGGAGAGTGGCGGATACGGATTATACGGTGACTGCAGTGCCAAGGGTAAACCAGCTCCAAGTGTCAAGTGGCTAAAGGATGGCATGGAGATTTTGCCAGAGGAGAACCTGTACGAAGTGCAAACCAATCCCGATCAGGGTCTCAATGGCATGGTCACTGTACAGAGTCAGCTCAAATTTAGGGGCAAAGCCAGACCCAATGGTAATGCCTTGGTGCCTGGAGATCGTGGCCTGTACACATGTCTATATCAGAATGAAGTCAACTCGGCCAATTCCTCGATGCAACTGAGGATCGAACATGAACCCATTGTCCTGCATCAATACAATAAGGTTGCATTCGATATCGAGAGACTGCAGAGGTTGTGTGCAAGGTTCAGGCATATCCCAAGCCAGAATTCCAATGGCAGTTTGGCAATAATCCCTCACCATTGACCATGTCTTCGGATGGACACTATGAGATCAGTACCACCACAGACAACAATGATATCTACACATCTGTATTGAAAATCAACTCTCTGACGCATTCGGATTATGGAGAATACACTTGCCGAGTGGCAAATACTTTGGATACCATCCGAGCTCCCATTAGGCTGCAACAAAAGGGACCCCCAGAGAAACCCACCAATCTACGATCCACCGATGTTGGTCACAACTATGTTTCCCTAAGCTGGGATCCTGGTTTCGATGGTGGTTTGAGCAAAACCAAGTTCTTTGTCAGCTATCGACGAGTGGCAATGCCACGGGAGGAGCAAGTGATTCCCGATTGTGCCAATTTGGCTAACTCGAATTCGGATTGGGTGGAAGTTGATTGCCAGCGGGATATTCCCTGCAAAGTTACCTCCTTGGAGCAGCATCAGAGTTATGCCTTCAAGGTGAAGGCCCTGAATCCCAAGAGTAATTCTCCCTACTCCAGTGAGATTCTGGTCACCACAAAGGTTAGCAGAATCCCACCGCCACTGCAGGTGACCTATGAGCCGAGTACTCGCACCTTGGGCATCGATGTGGGTGCCACATGTCTGTCCCTCATGGCTGTGGTGGAGAGCATGGTCAATGCTGATACTCCGATGCCAGCTTGGGAAGTTGTGGATACCCTGGAGAATCTTCAGCTGTCCGGTGCTGGACCCACGCACAAGGAGAAGATCTTGGAGCGTTTGAATAGTGCCAGGAGGTTAGGAGGAGGACGTGCCTTGGGACACACCATCAGCGATGAGGAGGATAACCATGGTCTAAACAGTCTGGCTCTCGAGGACGATAGTCCTGTGGTGAGAGTGAAACTATGCCTGAGGACGAATCAGGAGCATTGCGGCGATTACACAGATGCTGAGAGTAAGTAGAAAATATATAATTAAAGCTTCTTTCCATTAGAAAAGTTACCATTGATTGAAAAACTAGAAAAACACTAGAAATTGTGCTTTTTGAAGGAAAATAAGTAACCATTGCAAGGGTATTTGAAGAACAATGAAATAAACAAGCAAGCAAGCAAGCAGGCAATGTGGTGAAGGATATATGGTGCTGGTTACTCTCCTGCGATGCTGATGATTTCCATTATATGCAAAGCCATTACGAGCAATTGCACCACTTGAATGGCCGGCAGCCGGCAGCCGGCGGACAATCAATCACTCATCCAGCCAACCAGCGAGTGGTTTTCACCTCCATCTCCATCTCCATCTCATCCATCCAAGCAAACCAAGTCCATTCAACCCACAATTCAACCCACAATCCATCCAACCATCCAACCATCCAACCATTCATCCATCCATCCACTTCAACTCCTTGCAATGCATTTTTCATGCCTTCATTTCATCTCGCTATCGGCTTCAGCTACAGTGTTCACAAAAAAGGGGGAACAAAAATTACGAGTTTATTCCCAAAATGAGGTTCAATGTGTCAGTTATGAAAAGTAGCTTGTATTAGGGATGAATACTTGGAGAAAAAGTCTGAATTTATATAAAGCATATATTGTATTGAGATTTTGACAAATAATTAGATTTTTTTTTTTTTTTTTTTTTTTTATTTGACTGAATTTATTATTGTAATTACTGTAGTGTAGCAACTTATAGAATAGTGAGCAATAATTAGATAATTAAATTATTGAAATTAACTACATCGAAAATCATTTGTGGAAAAAGTACCAAAAATATCTTTAAATTTGATATAACGAAATTTAACCTATTTAAAAATATTGCATTCGTATAAATTGCAAATTTAAGGCTGAAATTGATCAGATATATTAAACATATCTATATATAATATATCTACAAATTAAAATATTGATTAATATTTCTATAAAGCTTAGATACTGGTATAGACATCCCTTACTCAAATTATTATTGTTTAGCCTTGTCAAGAAAAACTTATATTAAACATTAATTTATAGCAAAATTTCAAGATTTAAGTCAAAAATTCCATAATTTAAATTCAGAAAGCGTTTCTATAATAATTTTTATTAGGTGAATAAATAAGCCAAAATTATAAAAATTAAAATTTTTGAAAATTTTAACAATGTAACTAAATTATTAAACTATGTATTTTTTTTTAAATTGACAATTTAGAAAAAATATTTTTTTCTGTTGGATTAAGAATATATTTACATACATTATATAAATGAGGCCTTTCAATCTTCTGACTAAAATTACAATACCATTATTTAGGACAATATTTATCAATATTTTTGGACTAAAATTTTTTCAACAAATCAATTCTTAAAAATCTCATAACTTAGCCAAAAATTCATTAATTTCAATTCGGAAAGATGTTCTATGCTAGTTTTCTTTAGGTTAATAAAGCTGCATACTCATTTTAATAAATAAAACAAAATAAAAATTTATCAATTTTTCAAAATTTAAAGATGAAAATTTGATTATAAAACTTGAAAAAAATTGAGAAAATTTTTATTTCCCGGAGATGTCTAGAAAGATTCGCCTGTTAATGCTGATCAAGAATATATATGATTTATAGGGTCGGAAATGACTCCTTCCCTCTTAGTATTAAAAGTTCCTTTGAAATCCTTAAAATTTCCTTCTTATACTAGACTGTACCCTTTTTTTCTCCTGTGTACTCATTCCATTCTATTTTCTCTCTCCCCCTTCTTCCCCTAGTTGGTCGCCCGTATATTGCAGAGGCTAGTGCCCTGGCCACGCCCACACTGATTGCGATAATCGTGTCCTGCATCGTGTTCGCCTTGTTTGCCGGCCTGATCCTGATGTTCTGTCGCTGCAAGCGCAATCAGTCCAAGAAGAGCGCCGCCGCCAAGGATTACGAGATGGACTCCGTCCGACCATCGATAGTGGCTGCCCAGCAGAATCAGGCACCGCCGCCCTACTACCCCGCCTCGGGACTGGACAACAAGGCCCTGGAGCATTCGATGGATCTTGCCTTGAGCATGGAGGAGCAAAAGACAGCGTTGTATGCCACTCAGAATGGGTACAGCTATCATCCGGGCAGCGGTGTGGTGGGTGGCGGAGGCGTCGGACCCGGAGGAGTTGGTGTCGGGGTCGGCGGAAGTGTGGTCAGCGGAATGGGAGTTGGCAGCGTTGTTGGAGTCGGAGGCATTGGTAGCAGTTGCATGGGAGTCAATGGAATTCCAGGACTCACGGCACACACAATGCCAGGAAATGAATGTAAGTGGAAAACCGGAAATTTTTACTCTTATTTATTTATATATTTTTTTTAGGGGGGAAAAGTGAAGAAGGGTTAAATAAGTGTATATATTGCTTATAGAGGTTGGAATTGCAGGGAATATACGATTTATGTAAGAAGTTAAGGGAAAGATATTTGAAAATATTAAGGAATATTTATTTAAAATGAAAGAAATATAACTAGAGTCAGAAAACATTAAAGTAGATAAGGAAATATCTTCCGAACAAAGTGTTTTTCAAACTTTAAAATGCTATTTCGTAATGAATTATAAATTTAAAGATATAATTCCATATTTCTACCTTTACATATTTTATTTGTACTTGTTTTTAAACCTTTTTCAAGTGTTCTTTACCCAAAAAAGAACCAAAAAAGATATGAAAAAGGTATAAAAGAACTAAAAAGAGTCCCCAAAGTGAGAAATACCTCCGGCTGGGAAGTCTTCGTGGCTGTCCCCCTCTTTTTTTTTAACGATTTTCCCAAAAAAATGGAAAACACACAACACCTATGCTCTGAATCTGGTGCGGTGATTTTTCATTGTCCACCAAGAACACATTCATAGCCACAAAAATACATACACTTCCGTACACATAAATGAAAGTCCGTGCTGACGTTTAAGGGGAAATTCCGGAGAAGGAGCAGAGGAAGGTTTTCTGAAAATTATGTGTATGTGTATGTGTGTGTGAAACGGGAAAAGTGCAAAATGGAGTTGAGTGCAAATCGATGATGGTGGCGTCGGGCATTCATCAAAGCGCGGCTACGCACCTGCGGGGAAAAAACTGCGAAGGGAAAAGCACTTTCCACTTCCGTTGTAAATTTGTTGAAACAGCAATTTTTTTCTAAACGTTTTCAACAGTTTTTTTCTCCTATTTTTCCCCCTTGTTTCTGTTTTGTTGTTGTTTTGTTGCTGTTGTGTTGAGCATTTTGTAATATACTTTCCATTTTCAATTGTTTGTTGCTGTCGTCGTACACGTCCATTCATCCTGGACCCTTCCTGAGTTTTCCTGTATGGGGGAAAACTGGACTCGGGGCTACCTTCTGCGCATTTTCACCACTCCCTTTTGGCGGTTTCACACAATTCGCCAGACAATTCATTATTAATTGTTCTGGTTTTCGTTTATATTTCCTTTTTATTTTTTGCCCACTCACCACACACTTTTCTTTATGGCAAAAAAATGCCAGAAGCTTAACTTTTACTGCTAAGGGAGGAGGGAAAAAGTAATGATGTGCAAATTAAAAATTCCACAAAAATAGGATAGAAAACACAAACCCCAATATAGTAAAATTTCATTTTCTTTTAAATTAGTTAAGCCTCAAAATGGCAGCAATTTGGATTTTCCAACTCCTGCCAATTTCGAGTTTCAATTGTATTTCGTATTTTGTACTCTTTTTTTTTGTGCGAGAAAAGGCCAATTAAAATTTTAAGGCGCTTAGTCCGTCGCCTGGGGAGGGGGGCATTAGGGGGTTAAAACCAATGAGTGGATGCTGGGGGAGGGGGAGGGGGCAAACATTGCCACTTAATTGCATTTAAAAGCGATTGTAAGGAAGGCGGCCAAGCAGAAGCAGTGGGAGTTGCAGTTACAGAGCTAATTTGCCAAGTGAAAGTGGCATGAATAATAAAGGGTTGCAGTCTAGGAAAGCGGAAATCGCATTGCAGAGGATGAGGAAAAAGCTGGGGGAAAAAGGAGGAAACCCTGCTCCTGCTCCTGCTCCTGCTCCTGCTCCTGCTACTCCATTTCATTGTGAACGCTAATTGCCGCTTAAGGAGCAGGGTAGCCACAGGGCCGAAGCGCACACGGTGGCTCCATGCCATTCGAAAATGTCCTTTGGCAGATGCTAACGGAAAACCCCAGGACCTCCAAGTTCGTTTGACACTGGAGAAAACATTTGCCGAAACAAGGAAATACTTAATATAACAAAATATATTCAAATAATTCATAAACATTTAAAATATGTTTTAGAAACTGTTTTAAATTACTTTAAATTTGAATTTGAAATAGTTAATATATATTTCTTTCTCTGTGCCAAATAAACCCCCCTTCATTTTACACTTTGTCTGCCACTGAGAGTTTTCTCGGTTCATTGTTGTAGTTGCCTGCACTTTTCGGGCTCGTTACGGTCCCCCCTTCCATTTCCCATTTCCCGGCCTCCTCTTCTAGCCACGATTGCTTTCGACCTAGGCCAAAAACCTAATGAACTTTGCATGTAAACCGGCAACGACAATAAAAACAATCAAGCAAAGAGCGAAAGTGCAGGCAGCAGCCAAGGAAAGGAGATAGGAAAAAAAGGGAAAGGAGTTTAAGGAAAATTACACTTCCACCAGCGAAAAACTTTTAGGAAAATTTAATTAAAATTGTTTTGTTAAATAAATTAGAGAACCAATAACTTGATGTTTAATGAGGAGTACAGCAACAATTAACTAGATTGTATAAAATATTCTTTTATCAATAAACTCAGACAAAACTGCACTTAAAAGGGAGATGTATTATTTAAGTCAACATTAACTAAATTATTTAAAATCTATTTCTTCTTTAATCAATAATCTAAAATTAGGAACATAAATATAAATAAATTATGTTATTCTTCAGTAAGTCTAATTGTTATTTATTATCGAAAATGTATTTGTTTAACCAATAATCTCAGTCAAATCAGTTACAATTCCTTAACTTTCACCACTTTAAACCCAAAAGGCATTTAATACAGACTTGCTTGCAAGTTTTTGCACTCTACCAAATAAAGAAGCAGGACTCTCTCTCAGAGGTCTCCAAGTCAGAGTCTGGGGGATAAAGGATACGCCCACGGCTAGACTATGACTAAAACAACGACTAAAACAACGACTACAATGGCGAGGACATGTCCCTCTAAATAAATTCACGGCGGCAAAGAACAAAAGCAGCTGGCAATACCAAAATGAAAATGTGTTCGTCGCATATACAGAAGAGCAACCAACCATCGAAAATAGAGAGGAGGAAAACTACAAAAAAAAAAAAAAACAAATGCAGAAAACACAAAAAATAACTAAGCGAAAAAAATAAATAAATAAAAATAGAAGCAAAACAGAAGGAATCTCGCGCTTGGCAAATTTATGCGCTAAATAAATAAAGCCATGAACCCGGGCGCGCGTCGGGCCAAAAATGTCTGCCATGTTCAACTTTGGGGCTAGGTTTTAGGTTTAGGTTTGGGTTTGGGTGTGACCCCCACCGGGATTTTCCTCTATATACGGGGGGTGGGTGTATTTTCTATGGGATTCTGGGTGCTCTTCTCCTCCCACTCTCTCCCTCTGTTTAGTTCGGGGCTTAAAATGCACCCGGCGCCCTGCTTGGCCCACCCGCAAAGCAAATAGCCGCAAAATAGTTTTGCACGCCCCAAAAACGCAAGCAAAAATAAAAAAGGGTTGCAGGGGGAAGGGTTATTCAAGGGGGTGCTAGTTTTGACACTTGAAAAATATTTGTGAACTTGAAGAATTTTTGGATTTCTTTTTGGGAGTCAATCAAATATTTATACCAAATAATTTGTAAGAAAATAATATTTATACATATATACCAATTTGCAACATTTTGAATTTTTTTCCAACAATAATTTCACAAACAAAAATATTGAAAATATTAAGAAATTTATATTTTGAATTCAAAGCCTAAATTTGAGTACTCTTGCCGAAATTAAACCATTCATAACTAACCCAAAAATGGCTTAATTTCAATTCGAGCTGTCCTATGTTATTTTTTGTTAGTTAATATATCTGGATATTTAAAAAAAATTAAATTTTTTGATTTTTTTAGACAATTTAACATAACCTTAAAAAATTAAAAAAATAAAAATTTTAAATTTCTGCCTGAATGGCTAGATTGACTCAGCTGTTGATGCTGCTCAAGAATATATATGATTTATAGGGTCGGAAATGATTCCTTCACTGTCTTTCTTGCTTTTGACTAAGATTAGAGTATTAAAACATGTAAATTATTTATTCTTTTTTTACAAATATTTTTTTTTTTTTATTTTTATTTTAATATTTTTCATTAATATTATTTATTAAATTATCTGCTAAATATATTAAATATTAAAAATATCTGCTTTTAATTTACAAAAAATAAATATTTTAGGGTATAATATTTATTTTAATAATTTTATGCCATATTTAATTATTTTCTCAGATTCAAATATTTATTTTTATTACAATTTTACTAAAAACGACAAAATATCATTTTGAAAAATTTATTTTCAAGTTTTTGAGTTTGAATAAACAAATATTTTATTTTGCTAATATATCATATTTTTATATTTTATATATTTGTGATTTATTAGTAACTTTTTATATGAGTACTTATTGTTACCAAATACAATCTACAAATATTTTTCTTCACCGAAATATTATAAATATTTCACAAATCACATTTACTCAATATTTTTCCCAGTGTCTAACCTTTGCCCAGTTTTAGGCCAGCTTTCGGTGCCCTTTGTTCCACTCAATCTCTTGGTGTTTTTTGTTTTTTTGTTTTTTTTTCTGCCAGTGATTGCCCTCTCGAACATGTTTGTCTTGTATTCACAGTTGTGAGCGAGCGGAAAAGCGAAAGGGACTAACTACCAAGGGGTTAGGGTTAAAGGGGACAGCAAAAGCAGCAGCTGGTGCTATCATTGCCAGCAGCCTTGGCACAGCTGACTGGACGGGCGACCGAGTGACTGACCCGACCAACTAGCTAACCAGCTAACCGGCAAACCGGCCAACCGGCCAACTGACCTAACCCAAACCAGGGGAAAACCCGGCCAAACCAATCTGAACCAAAAAACAGACCCCAAACCACACACAACCGAAGACACAATCTATGAGTTCCAATTTGCTGCTGCCGCTGCTGCTGCTTTGTTTTTTCTTCTTTTGCAGCTGGCCAAACTAATTGGCTTAAATCTAAACACAGTTGGCATAGAAAATAAAAAAAGCAGGTGCTGCTAGTGGGAAATTCAAGAGGAATTGAAGGAAAAGTCTGGCTGGCACAAGCCCTTAAATGATTATGATGAAAAGCGTCAAGAAAATACCCTTGACCTGCTGCTGTTGCTCTCTCTCAACTTGCTTTTCTTTCTTTCTTTGGGCCAAGAATAAGAAATTCTGTCATGCTCAGCTGATCAGGAACAACACGTTGAATTCCCGTTGAGAGTTGAGTTGGGCCCCCAAAAACAAAACAAAGTTATTTTACTTTCTGCCGCCCTCGCAGGCTTTTCATTCATTAACCCAAAAAAAAAAAAAACGGAGAGAAATCTGAGAAACTGAGAAACAACTTTTTGGGGTGGGGAAAATTGCAACACGGCAAGTGCAGGAACGTTGCCACTTTTCCCGCACTTTTCCATCCAAAAATTACTAGCAGGGCCCTTGTTGTGTGCCTGCTACATTTAAGCGCATTTAGGGCAAATGCCAAGCAGCAGCAGCAGCAGCATCCTTCGACTTCCGACTCTCAAACTTCGAGTCTCCGAGTCGCGTCGCTAATTAAAAGTGCAACAAGGCAAGGATCAGGAGAGCCACCAAAACAAAAGCAAAAAAAAAGGTCAGGGGGAGGAAGGAGGTTAAATTTTATAAGCACTGGAAAAATGGTATTAAAATTAAGGAATTTATAGATATTTGTTTGTTGGAAGAATGGCTAAGGTAGAAGAAAAGGGTTTTAGAAGGATGTTTATAGTCTCAAATGTATATTCTGAAATAATTGTAATAATTATTTAACCTATGGAATTAAATACTTTTTCGCAGGCTTTTAATTTGTTAACCTTTTATAAATATAAATTAAATGTGTAGTATAAAAGTGTCCTCTCTTTAAAGTATTTAAAGTATATCTCTTTTTAAAGTATTATTTATTAAAGTATAATGGTTAAAACAAGAGCTAAACTGTAATAAACAAGAAACTTTAGAAAGGATATTTATGTTACTAGAATTTAGTAAATATCAAAGTTGAAAAATCACAAATAATATATAAAATATGACACAACATAAATTTTGGACAATTTAATGTAAAATATGATTAATATGCAACCTTTACAAATACCTTTTGAATTATTTTGAAATCCTTTGTTTATTTTAAAAGATTTTTGGGTCAAGAAGACTTACCTGTTGATCTAATCCTAGAAACTTACTTCTTTAGACTCTCATATGAAATAAAATTGATTAATCAAATGTTCCCCCTTTAGTTTATAACTTTCCCCTGATATCCTTCAAATTTCCCCCTGTGTAGAGTGAGAAACCTAGATAAGGAGCAAACCTGGTGCCATTAACACCCTAAAAAGCCCCCTGAACACCAAAACTGGGCTCGAGAGTTCAACTGAGATGAGTTGCCTTCCGCTTCAAGCCATTCCCTTCAGTTCAGTTGAGTTTAGTTTTGTTTTTTGAAAGGAGCAGGAGTAAGGAGGAGTTACCAGTGAGTAGGAAGCCGAGAAGGAGAAAGTCCTGGAGTGGAGCTAAAGGAGGCTTAGGCTGTTGCCAGCACAAGTTGTGTGCTCCCCATTTGCAACTCTTTAACCCTCTGGTGCCGGGGCAGGCAGCCTGCTATTTAGTTAACCGTTAATGGCATTTGAAACTGTTTTTATTGTGCGTCTGCTGCCGCTGCTGCTGCTGCAGCTCGCTGTAGTTGCTGCACAAAAATGTTGCATAATTGTAAGCGCTTCCGGTTGAAAAGTTTGTCGAGTGAATTAGAGGGAAAAACTTTCCACCAGCCAAGCACTTTTACATGAAAAGATTTTCCCAGAGCAAACTACGCGAGGGGAGGGGGCAGTGAGGAGCGGGTTTAATAAGCTGTTTTTCTTGGGGGTGGGAAAATGGAAAACATCGCGGACTGAGAGGCGTGACTATGCCACAAACCGTTGTTATTATTATTTGCTCAAATCAATGCACAAAACTTTGACAAACTTTAATTGCTAAAAATGAAAATAAAAAATAAGAGAAAAGAGGAAAATAGGAAGCAGAAAAAAAAAATAAAGTGTAGGCAAAATTGCTTCCCAGACAATGGAAATGCATTAAAATTTTCATCAACAACCGAGGGGTGGGGTTGGAGAATTTTTGTTATTTCGGTCAAATATTTTTGGCAAACTTGAGCAATCAAAAGTTGCCGCCGACAAAAGATTTGATGCTTATCAAATTGAAAAGTTTTACCCACCATATTTTGTTGCAATTGCCAAATGTTTTATATTAACAAAAGGCAGAGAGCACAAGCAGGAGGCAGGAGTTCTACGTTGAGGCATAAAATTACTCAAGCAAATATGCAAATTTCCATTGAGCAAATAAAAACAAATATAGGGAAAAGAAGGCGAAAAACTTTGCTCTGTTCGCATGAAATGTAAATGAAGTTAATATTATTACTGTTTTAGTTTTATGGCTAATCATAAAAATTATCACGCCCACCAAAACGAGGCATAAAAGTGAGCGAAGCGAGGCCCGGTTTTAGCACGCGAATAGTACCGAAAACTGGTCATAAAAACCCGGTGGCCAGGGTTAAGGATGTGGGCTATATAAGGAATATATGATATATAGTATATTTGATATAATATATGCGTTATATAAGCATATTTTCCAAACCTCTTGCTATTTTAGAACAAAGAAAATGCGACTCAATCTGTGGAAATTCACTAAAAATCGAACATTTTTATTGCAGACTTTTGCGATGCGTGACACTAAATGTTGCCATAAAAGATAGTGCACCGGAAACAAAACTTTAGGAAATTATAGCAAAGAAAAAGAGCTCAAAATAAAGTTTTTTCTAAAAAATAAATACTAAAAGGTTTAAACTTTAAAGCAAATGAGGCTTTAATATGAAGAATTCAATGAAATGGTACAGAAATGAAAGAAAACAGTACAGTACAGAGTTTACTTAATATACCAAATAAAAATCAAATAGAACACATACCAAAAATATTTATAAATTTAAAATGTTATTAAAAATGCATAAAGAACCCTTTTTTCGAGGTGACAAATCCCCTAAAATGCAAAAGATTATGTTTTGGGAATAATTTTCCGCCTGTTCCCCTGTTTTATTTTCGTTTTATTTTTGCTTTGTTTTGGGCACAACTCAAAATTCAAAAAGTTTTTTGTGTTTGCCGGCAAGCGTGCGTTTAATATTTATGAGTGATTTATCACGATATAAAAATAATAATAAATGCGTTCAGGCAGCAGGCACGCACCGCCAGGACAGGCTGCCTCTCGAACAATGAATGAGGAAAGGGAAAGGACCTCGAGTGGGGGAAAGTAGGAGCACCAGCTGCTCCTCATCAAAAGCGGGACCGAAGGACACAGGCTTTCTCCTGCTCCCTTATAAAAATTTGTCAAATCGGAGAAAGAGAGAGTCGAGGTTCTTCTCGGTGCTTCAAGGGTTTATGACTCGTGGATAGATTTTAAGTGGCACACGCGGCGTATGCGCAATGTGATGAACTATTAATTACGCCTCGTCTGAGAGACATAGCGAAGCCTCCTTTTTAATGCAATTAATAAATTCATTTTATGCCTCTGTCAATCAATAAAAATGTGTTCAGGCTTAGTCTAAGAGAACTTTAACTTTGCTCTTTTTGTTTTATTTTTTTTTTTTTTTGGAGCCAGCAAAACTTTGGCTTAATTTTAATTAAATTTTATTTAGCTGCCAAAACGAGCGAAAGTTTTACTTGGCCGAAAGCCAAATAGTCAGTGTTAAACAATTTCACATACAATGCAGGCTCAAATATTAGTGGTGCCAAGGATAATAATAATAATAATAATAATATAATTCATTTAAATAAAGCAGAGAAAAATAGATAAAGAAGCAAAGTAAAGTTTTACAATTATTTAAATACTGTTGTAATACAAAACTGCATTTAAATAGTCATTTAGCAAGGAACTAACTTGATTTCTCTCTTTGGATTTAGCTCTCTTAATTTAATTTCACAGTAATTCAAGCCTTTTTCAAAATTAAGTCACTTTTTAAAGACTTTTCCATACAGATTTATATTATTTTCACTCATATTTTTTCATAGAAAGTATGCATACCTTGACTTATTTTTTGCCAAAAAAATACTCATTCATCATTTCTGTTTTTTCCGCTTTTCAACTTTCTCTCTCTCTCTTTCTGGATTTTCCAGGGGTCAACATGGGCTACATGGAGAACAACTATTCCAACTCGAACAACGGCGGCAGTGTCAACTCACAGGACTCGCTGTGGCAGGTGAAGATGTCCGCAGCAGCTGTGGGCAATCAGCAGGGAATGGTCCAGGCACCCCTTAACCAGTACGTGGAGCAGCAGCCCAACTATGGCTACGATCCATTGACCCATGGCGGTTACGGGGCCGTGGATGACTATGCCCCATATCCGCACCTGACGGCCACACCCAGCCAGGTGGGCGATGAGTATCACAATTTGAGGAATAGCCAGAATCCGTCCCGGCAGGACTACTGCAGTGATCCCTATGCCTCCGTACAGAAGCCCAAGAAGCGAGTCGATCAGCATTTAGGTAAGTAAATTAAAGAGAAAACTAGTTATAGCAATAGGATATATTTTTAAGAAAACGTGCGTGAATGTGAAGAAGTGAGGGGAAAAAATTAAAGAAAACATATATTACATAGTAAAACGATAGAATCTATGAGTTTATGAAAAAGAAAAGTAGATAAAGATGTCGAGGCACAGATAAATATATTTTAGTTTCTCAAATGAGACTAAATCCTCTTCCTTTAATAAGCAACATAAATATCCTTGAGCAACTATTATTAACTCACAAAATAATCATCTCTCTGGTCTTACTTGGATCACTTTCAAACTTAATATATCTTCCGCAAAATTATCGTTAAATCCATCCCTCAGACCATCTAGAAACTTGTACCAAACTTCTTTGCAATAAACTCCATCGTAGAATTACAAGAAAACTTATTAGTGGAAAATCTTTGCTCATTCATCAGTCGCCGTAAGTGAAACAAGCAGCTAAAAGTGAATAAATTCCAATGAAATAATGCTGGAAAATAAATTCTCCACCAAGATGTTACGCCGCGTGTAACGTGTAACGAAAGGCAAACTCTAGAAAATTACGCATAGATTGCGAAGAGATTTGTTAGAGCAACTTTTGCCTCATTTTGATTGATAAACTTTTGTAGTAGGGCAACGGCGCATAGCATATAGCCAGTCGACCCAAAGTTTCTATTTTCTGACACATTAAGCTGCTATCATGGAAGCAGAGACTCAGAGGCGAGGAGGGGCATATAGAAAAAGAGTAAGGTCCTGCCTGCCGCTTGGCTTCCAGCTTTACTCAGAGTTTTGGCCTATGTCAAAAACTGGCAACTTGGCCCAAAAGAAAATTTCTAGCAAAAGGAAAGCAGGAGCAGGAAAAAATTATAGAACCAACTTGGGATGGACAACATTTTCTGTTGGCATTTTGGGCTTTGGCTCGCTTCTCAGTTATGACAGGTTAAGGCACTGGAAATCTAAAATGTTTTGCGCCCCTTTTTCCATGCTAATTATAAGGCAACTGGCCAAAAGCCGAGAGGGTCAGAGGTCGCAGTAGCCTGACGCAAATAAATACTAATAATATTCCATATACACATTGGCAATATGTATGCTGCTGTTCGAACAACAACCGCATTTCTCTGGCTCCGGCTTAAAGTCTTTGCTTTAAGTTCACTCGAGCACAAAAAACACACCGACCGCAGTGGCAAAATCAACAAGGACGAAACTTGGCCAGGATCAGTGGAAGGATGATGGGGGAGCAAAGGAAGAAGCAGCTTGGTGCCCTTTGGCGTCCACAGCTTGTTTTCTGGTACTGTCTCTATGTGTGAGAGTGTTTGTTGTGTGTGTGTGTGGGTGTTGTGTGTGTGTGCGAGTGTGCTGGTATGTGTGTTTGTGCAAGTGTGTCAGTCGGTTGTGTTCGAATTTTTGCGGAATCCATTTTTGCCGCATGGCCCATGTTGTTATGCGTGTTTTATTATATTTGTATACTCTTGAAATGAGGTCAGTTTGAGTTTAGTTAAAAGTAAAAGTAAAATTTAAAAATTGTATAAAAAATATTAAAATTATTAGCATTTTAATTGAGAGTTTATTTTTGGTTTGGTAAAATATATTTAACAATTTAAAACTGTATTATAAAAATTGTAAATATTATTAGATTTGCGTTCAATGTTTTAACAGCTCAGAAAAATATAAATATTAATATAAACCATCATCAAATAATATAAAATAAAAATATGTTTCATTTTAATTGTTTAATTTTTACAGTTCAATTTTTAGTTCTAATATAAATTTATCACAATATAAAGATTAATATAATTATACAAAATTATATATATATTATATTATATTATATATATTATATAATTATATATTATAATTTGTTCACTTCTTATACATAGTTTATTATTGAGTTCTTAAATAAGTTGAACTTTAAGAAAACAATAATATAACGTTAACGTTATATATAAATTATAGAAATTATTTGCTTTTGAGTTTATACTTCTTACAGTTTATTTTTTGAGTTTAAAAACTAATTTTTCAATACAACAAAATTTAATAGCCTAAATGTAAACAATGTATAATGTACCTTAGCTAAATTCAATTGGTTTCTCATAAAAATGTTTACTTTAATTTTTATGAAAGCATTTCTAAAACCTCTCATTATTATTTAATATTTTTATAATAACCTAAACCCTTTATTTACATTAAATGAAAATATTTCACATAGAGTATACAAAATATTCGTTATTCCCCTTAACATTTCATATTGTTTTTGTTTTTTGAGCTACGCAACTGTTTGTTGTTGTTGTTATTGTGATGCCAATAACACCGCAAGTGTTTTAAAATATTAAATAATAAAAACCGAACCGAACCGAACTGAATGAGAGAGGGAGAGAGTGAGTGAGTGAGAAAGAGAGAAGGGGAGAGAGACCAAAAGAAATGTAAGATGAACAGCCGCTGTGAGAGTTTCGGTGGCGACTGTAAAGCGCCAGCGGGTCGTATGCGTAATATTCTCCCCTCCCTTTGTGTGTGTTGGCCACAACTATGAGCGGTGTGTGTGCTTGCGTGTGTGTTTGTGTGTGTTATCTTTACGCTTTATGAGCACCAAAACCCAACAACAACAACAACAAAAATACATTTTTTGGTAGCTGCCACTCTTTGTTGTTTCTGTTCTTTCTCTTTTGCTTTTTTTTATGTCCCAGGACTCGCAGGATGTTATTATTGTTGCTTTTGCTGCTGTTGAATATTTTTTCTCGGTGTGTTTCATCTTTTGCTTCTCTGCTGCTTGCATATAAAATGCAATAAAAAAAGAAAAGGAAAGGAAATAAAAAGGGAAGAAGAGATCACTGGAGGCGACTCTCTCTATGACTCTTTTTAGGTTTTTCCTTTGCTCCTGCTGCTTTTTTTTTTTCTTTTCTGTTTACTGAGGTTAAACGCAAGGCAACAATAAACAGCAACAACAAAAGTAAAGCAAAATATAGGCAAGAGAAATGCACAACGCACAAGCAAACAATAAAAAATGTTTGCAAAGTTATTTTAGAGCAGCAACAAAAAGAAGAGAAAAAAATAAATAAATATAGTAGCAAGAAAAAAAGCCTGTCCAGGCCGGAATCCGTTGGTGGTGACTGTTCGTGCATGTCAATAAAATGCACTAAAGCGAGTACAAGATGCAGATACAAGATGGAGCAGCATCCTAACCCCTAACCCCTCCTCCCTTCCCTCCACTCCCCCTTGAGAGCCATCAAAAGCAGCAGGGGAAAGCGCCTCTGAAGAGGGTTAATCTACAAGGGGCGCAGAGGGGGAGCAGAGGCAGCAGATTGACAGTGCTACAATATGCAAATACATCTTCATTACATTGATGTCAGCTTATGCACAGCTTGCAAATGCAACTGAATGCATCCCTGCGTATGTGTGTTTGTATGTTTAAAAGCTTTTACACTTGCCAAACTCACATTTGAGACCCCTCATCGCTCATTCTATAGCTTTTGGTGGCTTACTCTTACTATCTCTGTCTCTGTCTGGCAGCCAGAAGGAGAGAGAGAGAGAGTCGGTCTGACTTTTGTGCCATGCAAAATGCAGCTAAATGCAGTGAGAAAATATGTACGAGTTACTTAATTCACTAGAAAATAATAAAAATTTGATTGTGATGTTTTCAAGAGAATATTAAACAAAATTATTCCATTAATAATTTTCAGTTAACCTTTTTTCAAATTAAATATTTCAAGTTCTTTAAGAAAATCCCTTTAAAAAGTTTGGAAATTGCATTAAATATATACATTTTAAAATAATAATTCAATATAAAACTTTATTTTCACAAAATATTTAAATATAATATTTTGAAGAGCATATTTAACAAAATGATTCCATTAAGAAATTTTAATTAACCTCTATTCAAATGAAATATTTTAAGTTTTTTAAGAAATTCCTTTAAAAAGTTTGGAAATTGTATTAAATATATATATTTTAAGATAATAATTCAATATAAAACTTTATTTAAATTTAATCTTGAAATGTTTTGAGAAAATTTTTAGACAATTCTTAAAAATCAAATAATTGTGAATTATTTTAGTTATTAATTGAAGAGAAATTTCTTCTTTGATTAATATTAAGTTTTTTTTAATAAATACTTTAAATTTACTTATAAAATATCTTAAAAACACATCATTTTAGTTGACAATTTACTATTTAATTTCTAAAATCAAACCTCTGCCTCTATTAAATGTTTTTTTGTTTAGTTTCCAATATTTTTTCTACCGTTTCCATACAAACCATATTATTTCTCACCGTGTAAGTGAGTGATCAAGGGGTTTTTGGGCATACAACATGCAGCCAAAGAGTCAGATTCTGTGGATGCATGCATATATCGAGGCTATGAATGAGCCAGCCCGAGGGGGGGAGGGGGAGGGAAAGGGTAGAAGAGGATTCTCTTGGCCATGGCCGGAAGGAAGGAAGTCTGCGGCAGGCGCCAAAAAGCTGCGTAAGCAAATTTTTTGCTCATCTGTTAACATGCAAAGAAGGTTACACACAGAATAAAGATGGGTGGATTTCCGGGGTGGATTTCAAAAAAGGGGGAAGAAACACACACACACACAGACACACACACATACACATTCTGCTGACTGATTGATTATGCAGACTTTTGTGTCAGTTGGTTGAGCGCCTTTGTTTGGTCTTTTGTCAAATAGAGAGAGAAAGAGAGATAGATAGAGAGAGAAAGAGAGAGAGAGATAGAGGTTCTCCTTGGAAAATGGCTTTAATTCATCATTAAGTCAAAAGTGAGACAGAGAAAGAGAAGCAGAGAAAGTCAACCGCAAGACGAGAGAGATTATCCCAAGCTTTTAGCAGATTATTCAAATTGCTACTTCATGAATATACATAAACGATTTTGATTAATATCAAACCATTTACACACACACAGTCATGTGTACGAATACATATATATATTTTTGGTACAAATGTAATTGCTTCAGGGAAATGGGTCCCAGGAATTTATGAAAGGAAAAGGGTTTCTATAGCAAATAGTTAGATGCTTTAATAACTTTAATAAATCAGGATTATTGATATTATTATAAATATATTAACAGACTTTTCTTCTGTCACTAATCTGATGATTTAACTTTCATACAAATCTGTTTTCGAATCTCTTTTTTCTCGCTCTCTCTCCATTTTCTTTTCTTCCGCTGAAAAGCAAATAATGCAGTTTGCTTTTAGGCTAAGCAATAAATGCCAGGAAAACTTATTCAAAGTGCCATAAGAATCTTGTTCTTTCCCTTAGCTGGATAGCTTCCAAATAGTTGCAAGGATGTTGGAATAGAGAGGGAAGCACATAAATCACATGAGTCAGGATTTTTGCAACAGAACAAAAAAGAAAGAAAAAGGGACTTGGCCTGTGGAGAAACACAGTCCACAGCACTAAACACACACTAAGTGGATTTGCCAGGGAAATGGGAGAAAGACTCGAGGAGAAAGCCAGCAGCAGGCAAAAAGGCAACAAATGATAAGCGTTTTGGCTTCTACACACCGTTTTAACCCCCTTGTCCCAACTGGGGGAAAGTGTTTGTGTTGCCTGGGATAAACTCATCTGCAATTTGTTTACTTTCGACGTTTCCGAAAATTTACTCAAAAAGAATGGGTTATTACGAGCTTAGCATAACAACGCAAAAAAGAAGAGGAGCAGGAGAGAAAGAACTTGGCCAGCACACAGTTCAACCCTACGGCATCCACGTGTGGAAATTTGCATGCAAAGACAGCTCCGGAAAATACAAAAAAAAGCAAGTGGAAAGTGGCGACCAACGGTGCGTATGCTTAACGCAAAAACGATTAAGTTGTTCAGAGAGAGACATACAGACGGAGAGTTGTTGAGAGTCCAGTGGCTCAGGCTGAATGGAAATTGAAAAACAGCACGGGGAAAAACCTCTTACTAGGAAAAGGGATAAGGAGGAGGAGTAGAAGGTAGGGGGGGGGGGCGTGGCATACAATAAAGTTATGCGCATAATATCCACAGCTCACGTATTGGCCATAAAATGCGAGCAGGAACCCAAAACAGTGGACCAAATCTTTGAACAGTTGAAAATCTTTGGAAAGGAAATAGTTGGGGCACAAAAAAAAAAGGATTCGCTTTCCCAGCTTGCTGGCTTTCCCTTTCATACTCTCCCTCTCTCTTTTTGGGTCAAGTTTATGCAGATGCCAAAGTGGAGTGAAGCCAGGCTGATGAAGGGAGGGACGAAGTGTGGCACATCTGGGGGGCAGGCACAAAAAATCCGAGGCGTTGGGGCGATGGCGACAAACGCGCTTTGGAATTTTCACACGACCAAGAAAAGGCATGAGGGAAAGCCAAGGATGATGTAGAGGGGTGGGGCATGGGAAAAGCCAGTCGTCGAACGGGACGGAATATGTTAAAGAGCAGTTGTTAAAAAGGATTTACGTTTAACATTTAGGAAGCACGTCAAGAAAAATTAGGGAATCATTTTATTTTGGAAAATAATAAAAGATAATTTTAAATTATCGAGATTTAATATTTGAAAAATTAAAATGTTATGAATTTATGACAATTTTAATGATGTTTACCCCTTACAACATTCTCAAAAATTAAGATATAATTTGTTTTTGGATTGTCGAATCCTAAGTGGTATTTTTAGTGATTAAAATGAAGATTTTAAACCAAGAAAACTTTAAATATATGAATTTTATATGCTTTAAATCAATATTTTTATATGCAACATTTTTTTTTTTTGGTAAATCAAAAACTTTCAAATATCATAACTAAGTTAAAAATTGATAAATTTCAATTCGGAAAGCTGTTTTGTGTTAGCTGTTAGCTGTTGAAGGTTAACAAATCTGCTTACTCAGTTTAAAATGTAAAAAAAATAATTTTTTTCTTTCAATTTTTAACAATTTTAACCCCTTAAAATTTTTTGAAAATTATGAAAAAAACGAATTTCTGTCAGACATACCTAGATCGATTCGTCTGTTAATGCTGATCAAGAATATATATGATTTATAGGGTCGAAAATGACTCCTTCATTGGGTTTTAAGCTTCTGACTGAAATTTTAATACCCTGCAAGTTACTTAATAAGAATGAAATGTTTGTAAGGATTCATAGTTCAAGGAAATCCTTAATTGTGCTCTTAAACATCTTAATAATATATATATAGTTATATCCTATCTATAAATATTTTTTCCTGTGCATAAAGCAGGTTAAAAAGACCTCCACGAATTGAGACATTCACACATTTGGTATTTGGCCAAAAAAGCATTTCGATGCGGCGATTTCCTACCCGCTACCCTTTTTTGCCTCTCTTTTTTTATTCTTCTTCATTCTTTATTTTGAAATTCAAATTCCAATAAATTTTCCAATGATTTGGCACACAAAGCAATCCAAAAGCAGAGCACAGAGTGAGAATAAAAAAAGGAAGGGGGAAGGAAGGAAGGTTGTTAGTGACTGAAATCCTTTGCCGGATTTGCATGGCCAAACGAGACACAGAGAGAGAGGAAGTCCTGCGAACATGGCTCCAAGTGGCGATGCGCTTAAATATGCAACAATTTGTAGCAGACAAAGATGTTTGCTTGCCAAAAGGCAACGGGGGTGGTGGGGGAGGAGTCCTTTGATTATAAATTAATGTCCTGTTTACCAGTGGGCAGACCTGGGTGTTTACCCAAACCAAATGCCAGCAAATGCCTCTCTAATTCGTTTGCAATTTCGGTTGCAATGCAGCAGCTGCAATCCCAATCCGAATCCCAATTCGAATCCAGGGGACTGCAATTGGATCTCGTTAGTGAGAGCAATCAACTGGTAAATTAAAACAATTGCTTTGGGGCCAGAAAAATCACCGTCATCCGCCTGATTGCCCGAGTGTGTGTGTAGAGCTGAGAGCTGACAATTTAAAGCTTCGATAAACTACAATGACATGTTATGTCAATCGAAAGAGTGGTAATTAAATTGGTTAACGGGCAAAAAAGTTTTATCAAATGGTTGATATCAGTCTTATAATAGAATTAGGGATGTGCAAAAAATATTTCTTATATCGATATATAATCGAAATTTTAATGTTTCGATAATTATGTGGAGTAAAGTAATATTTTGTCTGATATGTTGGATAAAAATAATCGGAAAGTAAAAAAGAAATTAGTAATGGTTATTTTTTCAATACTAATGAACCCTTTTGACATTCAACTCGATATTTATCGATGTTTAAAAAATCGATATATTAAAATTTACAAAGAAATATGAAGAGTATTGATTCTAGTTCTTTTTTTATGTTCTGAGACTTAAGTCCTGGCCTTTCTATATGAAATGAATGTGTTTTGTGTGCCTGCTTAATGTTTGATTTCATTTTAAGCTAGACCTTAAGCATTAAACATATATTAAAGCTTCGATGCAGTGTCCTAACCTTGGCTATTCTTCTCTATATATATTTACTCTTCACACACACACTCATAAATCCTAAAAAAAAAAATTAAATCTAAAAATATGCAATATAAAAAAAACCAAATCAATAGCGGACATTATACAGGATGTTACGCTCTAACGGAGCGCGCAGGCTGAAGTAAGTTAATGTCAGAGTCAAGGACACAAAAATATATGTATCCTATCCCACCAAATCCTGTGATGTTGCAGATTTTTTTTTAAGTTGGCTTGAAGTTTCACTTTTTTAGCAATTTTTTTTTTTTTGCCTATGATTTTATTTCAAGCCTAAGCACAGACACACATCTTCTCCATCACCCAATAGCACCGAAACACTCTCGCCGTGTGTTTGTTTTGATTAGCATTTTGTTTTTAATTGTTTGTGCATGACTTTGGCCTTTTTACGCCCATTTTGGTAAACTAATTTAAAACAATTTTCTGCCTACAGATTCACCATATCACGACGTAAGCGGCCTGCCCAATCCCTACAACATGGAGCATCTGGAACAGGACGAGGTCCTGCCGCCGCAGCAGCACTTGTCCCTCAGCTACGATGAGAGCTTCGAGGGCGAGTATTCAACAACGCCGAATGCCAGAAATCGTCGCGTCATACGCGAGATTATTGTCTAGGAAATTCTAGTTCGCAAAAAACAAAACAAATCAAAAAATCCGCACTCGAAAAATCATATATTAACTCTATCGTCTAACACTCTTTCTCGCCGACATCTACATTTGTTTTTTATATGATTTTCCCTGACTTGACTTTCCTGCTCGACTGTTAGCAGACTTTTTGAAAAGTGGCCATCATTTTGAATACTTTTTTTAAATATATTACATTACATATATTTACTTCGATGTAAGGCTTAGTTTTGAGGGATACGAAACGAACACGTGTGTTGAGTTTTATTGGCAACGAAAGCGATATGCATAGATATATAAATCGATACAGATAGGCATTAGAGTTTCCAATCTATCAGAAGCAAACACACACACACACACAGAAAACTGAGGGAAAACCCAACTGGACACACACATACAGACCCGAGGAAACAGACAAGAAACCATCACTGGACAAGCACTAAATGTTACGATTTACCAGATAGCAATTAGGGCTAATTAGTAGTTAATATTAATATTAATATATATATATATATATAAATATACGGTCGTCTAGGTCCCAGTTGCAACAAAACGAAACAAACATTAAACTGTAAGGCATCTAATGTTGGAATCGAAACAAAATCTCACACACTTGACCCTAGGCTTAAAATGGAAACGTAACTCTTAAGTGATGATGATTCTTGTCGGTTCTGGAAACAGAACCACAACAAAAAAAAGCTAAGGAAAATAATTTAAAATTAACAGTACGACCTGCCACAAAAACAAAACTAAAAAAAAACCAACAAAAAAACAAAAAACTTGACGTAACTTAATTTAAAATTTTTAAATAAATTTTGAGCAAGAAACAAGAGCGATACAGAGTTGCTTTAAGTAAGTTAAAACTAAAGTACAGAGAACTTTAAACAAATAAAAAATTATTACAAATAATTGAAAAAAAAGCAAACAAAAACCACTCCCAACTCCAATCTGAATACTTTAATTTAATTTACAAAATGTTTAGTAATAAATATTTAATGTTTTCCATTTGTATGTTTTTGAGCTTTGTGTTGAAAAATTCAAAATTTTAATTGTGGTAATAAATCGTTTAATTTGTAATTAAGTTTAAGCCAACTAGAAAACGATTAATTAAGTTATGTTTTAACCCACACAGATATTGAGTTGAAAATATATATATATATATGTTTTGTTTGTGCATTTGCGTTGTGTTTTTTAAGCCCGTTTAAACAAGTGTTTTTTGCAACTTTTTGACACACACACACTCAGACGCAGAGGCGGAACATTTTTTGTAGCTAAGATTTAATTGTAAATACATCTGTAATTTGTATATATTTACTTGTCTTGCAAAGTAAATAAGCAGCAGCAGCGGCAAACTTAAATTAAATTGTAGTTAATTTTAAACAATTTCGAAATGAATTTAACTAGTAAGCAAATGTTTAAGAGCAAATGCCACAAAAAATAAAAAATAAAAAGCAAAACCGACGAGGAGAACGAATTAAGGAGAAACCTTAACAAAAGTCTCGTTTAAATGAACAAAAAACAAGAAAAATATATAAAACAAAACACATAATTAAGGAGAATACGAAATGAGAATCTTTATTATATAAATTATACACTCTAAAAACCAGATAAGCGAATATACATTATATATATATATATATACATTTACATATACATCTACTTATTATTTGTAAATAAGTAAAGCATCAATTTTCATTTCAAAAAAGAAAAAACAACACACACACACATCATACACACCCATTAAAAACTATGCAAAAAAACAAAATAAGGAAGAGAAACTAAAATCAAAGGAAATTTTTATTTAGCAAAAAACTATATGTATATTTTGCGATTTGACTGACAGCACAGTGCAAGTGGAAACCCAATACGAGACACGAGAGAAAACCCACAATTTAGAGCAGAAATAAATCAACAAAAAACAACAAAGAGAGATAGACACACACAGAATTCGATGCCCTCGGCTGTGGCTGTTCAAACAATAAAACACTTTGTTAACTATTTTGTATGCATTTCTGATTTCTCATTCAATCCAACAAATTGCCACCAACAGCGGGAAAAGAAAGCATTAGCTAAAATATTTATGCATACACACACACACACACTCACTACATACAGCATAAAAACAAAACATATAATATTTTTTTATTCAGTTTTAAAACGAAAGGTAAAATAAAGCGAAACATCAAAACAAAACAAAAACAAATAAAGAGAAAAAAAATGCGAAGAATTTAAATTAAATGTCTGCGTTTTGATTTGCGGTGCGTTCTGGGAAAATTCCACAGAGGGGGCGTGGCATTAATAACACAACAAAAAAAAGGGAAGAAGCATCATCAGGAGCAAGAGAAGGAGGAGGAAAAGCAGCTGCAGGCGTTGCATAATGTGCCATGTTTAAGTTGATTGGCACCAAATTTATAGCATGCAATTTGACTTAAGTGGCAGTGCACTACCGGTTCTCCCTCTCTCTCTCTCGGGCACTCTGGCAACCCTGGCTGCCGGCACCGGAACTAACACGACACTGACATTTTAATTTAGTGCCAAGAGCAGGACCCCCCATTGGAGAGAGAGGGAGAGAATTTCTCTTCCTGTTCGTGTCACTTTTGCAGTTTTGCGTAAGAAACGAAAGGCAGCCACTTTGACTACCGCTGACAGCTGTTGGGGAGAGGGAGGTATAAGGAAAAGCCTCAGGAAATGCAGGGGGTTGGGGAGTGGGAAAACTTTAGCCATTGGTGCAAAATCAAATGGAAACGATTAATGAGCGGATAAGTGGATTAAAGTACATAAAGTGAGTAAATTCAGAAAATATTGAAGCATACATTAAGGCGTAGCAAGAAAACTGCTCAAAAACTTACAAATTAAGCAATTTAAAAAGGTAAAAATAAATACATTTTCATCTAGATGGTAAGAAATCTTTAAGAGTTTTAAAAACTAATGTATAAAATATATTTTAGAGCCTAATAGGAGCTTGAAAATAGTTTAAATTGTTTAAATTCTTCAATTCTTCTATTCTTTAAGGCTTCAGAAAAACTTAATAAATATTTCTTATCCCTTTTAAGCTTTTAAAACTATGACACCTTATTGTCACATGTTTTTTCTGTTCCAGCAAAATACCTACTAGAATTTTAGACGAATTTCTCTTGACGGTTAACTCAGGTTGCAGTTTTTTGTTAAAAAAAAAATATATATATATAGGCCACAGAACAGGAACAGAAACAGGAACAGGAGCAGTGGAAACTGCGGTTCAGCTGAAGCCAGGAGCTGTCAGATGTCCTATATACAAACTCACAAAGGAAAAAAGGGAACCACAGCCAAGTCCACATCCAAATCCACATCCACATCCACATTCACATGGCACTGGAGCGAACCGCAGTCACTCATTCATCCATTCATATCTCGGTGGTGGGAAAACAAAAGCGGCATATGGAAATTCATTTACTCCTCTCTCAACCCCATGAACCCCATCATGAACCTACAGGACCCCCAGGACCCCTTAACCCGATGGAATCCTGTCCAAATGGAGGCTCATCCAGCACGTAGAGGCGCCAACCGACGTCAATTAAAGCGCTGCCGGTGCCGCCTAATTGGATTTATGCCACATTTATATGTATGTATGTGTGTAGGTGTAAATTCATGGAATTTCCGGGGGTTGGCGGAAAAGCTTGTGCTAAAAATCAGTAGGATAATGAGCGAGAACTGCCTGGTAACAGGCTGAACCACAAAACTTAATGGCAGCAGGAGCAGCAACAATTGCAACTTAACGTTTGGGCGCCACTAACAACTTTCGAGGACTTTAAATGAAATTACGCGAAAAACTTTCGGTCTGCCATCTAGAAATAACAACTTTTTGAAGAGATCGTCCAGGCGGCAGGCAAAACGGAGGCTCGTCTTCCAAATCTGTATTCTTCAACGGCAGTTGGAGGCACGCCCCGCGGACATAATGAGATTCATAAATTACCACAAACTAAAGAGAGCCGATAAGTAGTTTCCACCTCTTACATAACTAAATGCCACCGGAAACTTCGAGGGAAGCAGAGGTGTCCTTGGAAGGGCAATGATCTTTTGGGGGAAGGAAAGGGAATATGTTGAAAGGAAGGCTGATATATAATATTAATAGATACAGAAATATCATATAGAAATATTATATAGAAAATATAGTTAACATGGTTATAATAAATATATATTAAATATATTAAATTATTAAATTATATTAAATAATATATGTACATATATAAATTTTTAACATCAAAAAGATAATATAATATATATTATATAAAAAATATTTATAATCAAAGGCTATAACGTTCAATATTTGATTGATATTTTCTTTGTGTTTTTGAATTTGTCTAAAATACCAAACACTTTATATTGTATATTTCTTATAAATATAATCCCACATATATTGTAACTTTATAAAATGGACTTATGAATAGATATTCAAATCAAATATGTATACAGGTTATAAATATCTATAATATATAGCATGTCCTACCAAATATCAAGAATATTTTTAGAGAATAAACTACTTAATTCTTATTTGATCAAGTAATTTAAATATATATATCAAGAGCGGAAAATAAGTTCGGGAAGCTGATGTTTATATAGCCTTGCAGTTTGCAATTGAGTTCTAGGATCGATTCCGAAATCGATCATAACTAAGATTAAAGTATAATTTGGATTGATATTTATTTAGATTTTTATAATAAAATTTTTTCGACAAATCATAGTTTTAAAATCTTATAACTAAGCCAAATAGGCATTCATTTCAATTCGGAAAACTTTTATGTTAGTTTTTGTTAGGTTAATAAAACTGCATACTAACTTAAAATTGTTTAAAAACTTAAAATTTTATCAATTTTCGAAAATGTTAACCCCTTATTTTTTTGACAAAAACTGGGAAAAAATGTCAAAAATTTTATTTTCAACCGGACATGCCTAAATCGATTCGGCTTTTGATGCTGATTAAGAATAGTATATATGATTTATGGGGTCGGAAATGATTCCTTCATATCGATACAAGCTTCTGACTAAAATTATAGTACCCTAAAAAGGTTATTATAATAAGAATATAAAAGAAATAGTTCATTAAAATCACTTCTGGGGATATTTAAATAATTAAAAAATTATATATAATATGTTAAACCATTCCTTTTCCTAAATCAATACCAAAATTCCTTTGATAAGGGCAAATTACCCAACTGCTAGACATTTGAATTTTCTGTTACGATGGGGGTCACCTAGCCGCCCCTGGCAATCCCTCCCCCGTAATTTCTAGATCACTGCCCCAGCACCATGCCCCATTCTGTTTGTTCTATGTTTGTGTGTGTGTGTGTGTGTGTGCTCTGCGGTCATTGGTTTGTAATTAATGCTACCAGAAGCTGACCACAGAGCGACTTGGCACGCCTGCGGCGGCCTAATGTTGCACGAACCGAAAAGCCGGACGCAAAGCTGGAGCCCAGCCTCCATGCGGCGCCACACCACGCCTCCGCGTGTAGTCACAGCAGCAGAGGCATCCGTCTGCGGTGGTGTGTGTTGAGTGCTTTTGTGTTTAATTTTATTAATTATCGACGTAATCTTTGAAGTTGCCGGCAAACTCCAGGGGAAATCCAACCATTGTCTGTTGGGCATTTGGCGTGGAAAAAGGAAGGCTGCCGCCGCCACATCCATCTCTCTCACAAGTCGAGGCGCCTCCATTAATCGCGTTAACTCGAACGTGTCTGTGTGTGCCAGTTTTTGGCGCGAAATCCTCCTACACACACACACACACACTCTGGGGAGGGGGGGGGATAGAAAGTTCCAACCAAAACCCAATTAGGTTTTTGGCATATGCAAAAGGGAACAAGGCGGAGGTGGAAGTGCAGCTGATGATCAGGAAGTCACTAAGTTTTGGTTTAATTTAATCCAATGTCTTATTCACTTATTTATTGCCAACTTAACTACTTGATTTTGCTTAAAGGTTATACCATTAGGGGTATAAAGATTAAACTCAAAAGCTTATTTACTCAAATTGGTTATGTTAAAGAGCAAATAAATATCCCAAGCCTAGTTGAATATATGTATATACCAATTTGATTTGATTATCTGCATTGCTATGGCAATTATTTTTCCCAGAATTTTCAACCTTTTTTTTTGGAAACTTGCCCCGTTACCTTATCGAAGGATGGAAAGAGTGGCGGTAAGCGGGCTTTTCCCTGGCAACAGCTGCTCATTTGCCGCTAATCCTGGACCACCGATATTGGACCACTTTCTCCCTGGACCCCTGAGTGTGATTTCCACCATTCGAGTTGGCTTCTAGCTTCTGGGTTGTCCATATCCCCTGAAATTGGGATATTGCCAGGCAAGTGGGCAACATTTTTGGTGGTTGGACTGAGCGTAATTTGAGCGCAAATATTGAAGTTTCAAAACCACCGGCAACAGTAGCAAAGCGAGCGACCAGAGCCGCAAATAAAGAATAATAATAATAATGAGCAAATATTTCAGCAGCAGCAGCCCGGGAACAGTCATCACACAGTCACAGAGCAGAGCCGAGGGGAAAATGGTGAGAGAAGAGTGAGTGGAACACATGATCTGAGATGCACAGGGAGAAATTGATACCAAGACTGCCTGAATTCGTTTTTAATTTAAAATTTTATATATATCGATTATTTATATAACTTGAAATAAAATTAGATGCCAGTTGCTATAAACTACAGAAAGTTCCTTAGATTATTTTAATACCCTAGCAGGGTAATATATTATTAGTATGAAGCTTGAAACGCTGAGAAGGAATCATTTCCGACCCTAAAAAGCATATATATTCTTGATCAGCATCAACAGCCGAATCAATCTAGCCATCTTTGGCAGAAAATAAAAATTTGTAATTTTTTTGAAAATTTTATAATTTAATTTTCCATTTAAAAAATTATGAAAAATGCATAGAATTGTTTTTTTTTTAATATTTAATTGAGTATGCAGATTTATTAACCTACTAAAAACTAAAACAGGACAGCTTTCCGAATTAAAATTAATGCATTTTAAAAACTTTGATTTCTTGATAAAGTTGTCTTATAAAAATCTGCATTAAGTTTCTTCTTGAATAAATAAATTAACTATGCACTCTGACAGACTAAATACTTTTAGTGAGTTCCATTTCTTTTTCAGTAAATTTAAGTTAATATATTTAATTTCTTAAAGTAAATTCAAAGAGACTTTGTTAATATAAAATATTTTTGTTTTTTTTATGCTTTTCTATTTTCTGGAGATACATTTCTCCCTGTGTATTAAGCACCCTTTTCCCCTTTTGATAAGCAGCATCTCTAGTTTTCCACGAAACCTCCCTTGAATACCAACCCTCTCCCCTTCTGAAGGCAGCCTGCCGCCTCCTCCACTGGTTCGCTGATTGTAATTATGAATGAAATTTGAATTGCAAGCGGAGAATTGAGAAACGGAGAAACGGAGACTGGGAATTGGCTACACTTTCCGCTGCAGTCGATGGACACGTGGCCGCTGCTCCTGATCCCCGGTCACGTGGCCAAACTCAATCCTCCAACCCACCCAAGGACAACCCCATGCAAAATCCCTCCCCCAAGGCAACCAACCTCCTTGCCCAATGACGACGGAAGTGCCAATAAGTAGTTGTCAATATTGACTGATTATCTCGACACGGTGAAAGTGGGAGTGGAAATGGTGAAATGTTGAAATCGGGCAGTCGTGATTGCGAGTTGTTTGAGACTTAAGCGGAAGTAAACATAAATCACTGCTGCGATGCCGGCGATAGGAGGAAGGAAGGTCTCTTCTCTCTACTCGACTCCCTGCAATTATTTTGCCAGGAGATGGCAATAATTTCAGATGGCAGGCGACAGGAAGAAGCTGCTACCATTTAGTTCCATCCCCCTGCCATCTCAATTCCGGCAGGAGATGCGCATAATTGCATTTGAATGGCTAGCTGCACTCCCAGCTTAGCGATGTAACTCCGAGGGATGAACTAAACGATGATTTTATCAATCACTGGGATTACCATTCGATTTGTGGACAAAGATATACCACATATATCCTGATGGCTCTGATTTGGGGGCAAGGATCTGCGTGGCTTATCTGAGTATTAAGGGTCAGGGAAATATATAGTAAAAGGGAGAGATATTCCAAAATCACAAGCTCTGGAAACAAGAAAAGACTCTGGAACCTTCGCTCATGAAATTATTAAAAATAAACTTAGCTTAATGATAAGTATATTTACAATATGACGAAATCATTTATCCATAAGCATAAGAGTGAGTTACGCTTATCGAAAAAGAATGTTTGCTTTCAGCTCTCAGTCGGGGTTTAGCTTTTCAGAAATGTGGTTGTCGCCACAATGGAATTTCTGTGCGTTTTGTCAGCAATCTTTGCGTATTTCATTCATCAAGCATTTGGATTCTGTGAGAGGCCCACGGACCTTATACATGGCTCTGGCAGGAGTGTTTTCAATAATAAATGGATATTTGAATGTGATCAAGGTTATGCAATTCAAGGAAGATCAGAGGTTACTTGTATTAATGGTTTACTGAGAGGAGAACGACCATTCTGTGCCAGTAAGTGTAAGAAGTGTAAGAACGAAGTTTCAGAGAATTCATTTTTGTAATATCTTTATTAATCCCTTTCTGTCAGAACCTGGTTGTAAAGAACTTGAAAATCCCAAAAATGGAAAACTTATCAACCCGGAAGGATTAAAGGCAGAGATCAAGTGCAACAACGACTACGTTTTGGTTGGTAATAAATTCACTTATTGCGATGGCAACGACTGGCAGATCCGTTTGGGAACTTGCCAAGGTACTCAGAACTATTCCTGCGATTTCGAGAGAGAAGATCTCTGCGGTTGGACTTTTCCCCATAGTAAACCGCAACCTTGGAGCCGTATCAGCACATTGTTCAATTTCCATTCCACCAAGACGGGTTCTCAGCGAGATCACACCTTTCAGAACAATGGGGAAGGACACTTTATTCGAATGGAAACAGAGAGCGGAGCTATGGGAAATTATCACTTTGAGTCTCCAGTTTTTCCGCAGCATCTGAGCTTGGGGAATACCACATGTTTTCAGTTTCACTTTTTCATGTTTGGCGATGGAGTAGGAAGTCTGTTTGTTTCGGTGAAACCAGCGTCCATGTCCGTTGTTGAAATGTGGGAAAAGTTTCAGAACAAGTAAGTAAATTCGAATCTTAAGTAAATAAAATATTAAACAATGTTTTTGTATAATTTTCAGCTTCACCCAATTCCAAAAGTGTGGAAATTTGGGCAACAAATGGTATGAACATTCCATTCCCATTGCTGAAATGGATGAGGATTTCCAGGTCGTATTCACAGTCACGGATGCTCAGTCTCGTTTTGGTGACATTGCCATCGATGATGTCAGGTTTCTGATGACGGACGAAGAATGTAAAGAAGCCTTTGTCGTAAAAGATCCTTGCCTCCCCAAACCTACTATTAATAGTGGAACAATAAACATAATTAAGTTGCACATTTCTAATTTAGCTTTCATTAGTTTAGCAGTATTTATAATGTGGCTTTAAGATTATAAATCAATGAAGAATTTAAGCATATTAGCTAAATAAGCCTAAAAGATAAACGAAATATAAAAGTTGTAATAAATCAAATATATAAATAACCTTTCAAGTATTTAACAAACATGGGGCACATTTCAAATAAGTTATCAAAACTATTACACAATTTTGAATAATAAAAACAACATCAAGGTCATTTGGCAGTTATTGCATTATTATTGCTTGCTTTCTCGCATTATTTAATAAATTTATCTGAGCTACAGTGAATTCTGAATAAACAACGACATGGGTCTTATCTTTAGAGTAATGCGGATCCGGAGACCAGGCCACCCGGCATTTAGCAATCGTTCGAGAACTTGGTACGATATCTCTCTCCTCTCATTCGGTTGTAACATAAACAAGTAGCCCGGACTGGGATTTATCGGGATAAAGTCGTATCTTCAAAGAGAAGTCCAAGCCGGCACTGGGTTTTATTTGATAACTCCGAACTCGGACTCGGTCTCGAGCTCAGTCACTCTTCCGCTTTTGAATTATCCACACGTTGCCACAGAATGGAATTTTACTGGATCGTCGGATTCGGATTGCTCCTTATATACGGTGCAATTCCCACAAATGGACGCTGTGAGAGGGGTTTGGTCTTGCAGCATGGCTCCGTGATGTTTCGGGCCAGAAATATGGTTCGTTTCCGGTGCAATCGTGGCTTTACGCTCGAGGGAAATCAGATTGCGACCTGCGATTCCAATGGTCGCCTCAGGGGCGAGAGACCCTTTTGTGCCAGTGAGTTGGAGGGAATATCCGTAGACTAATGTCAGTTTCAAGATACTTTTGTTTCTCGTAGAAAGTGGTTGCCCGGAGCAGGATCCAAAGGTCACCGGAATCGTGTTAAATCTTGGTAAAAAGTCCGTAATAGGTTGCCGTGACGGTTATGTCCTGGTGGGCAATCGGGCTGCATACTGCGATGGAGAGCAGTGGAACACCGAGCTGGGAACTTGCCTTAGAAGCAATCATACTCAGGATCATTCCTGTGACTTTGAGAGTGAGGATCAGTGCGGTTGGGAAACGGAGACAACATTCCGGCGTCCCTGGAAACGAGTTAGCACGGTGGCCGAATTCCATTCGGTGAGGACGGGACCCCAGCATGATCATACCTTCCGGAACAAGTCCGGTGGTCATTACATGCGCATGGAGACAGAGAGCGGAGCCTTTGGCAGCTATCACCTAATCTCACCAATCTATCCCAGGGCCTTGAGCCTGAAGACAGCCTGCTGCTTTCGCTTCCACTACTTTATGTATGGCGAAGGAGTCGACAGTCTGGTGGTGTCCGTAAAGCCGGTCTCGATGTCAATGGCTAACATGTGGAATCGGTTCAGGGCCAAGTAAGTTTGCTCGTCAACGGATGTGCACTGCGATAAGAGCAAGCACACATGCCATGAAGAATAGTTAGGGAATCACCAAAAATTATGTTATTCTTGGTGCTTAAAGATACATATATTTCTACATTCACCCTGATTAAATATGTACAACTTTTTCGCCTTTAGCTCCAGTAAATTCGAAATGAACGGCTCCCAGGGCACCGAATGGCTGGAGCACACGATCACCATCGATGAGATGGAGGAGGACTTTCAGGTGGTTTTTACGGCCACGGATGCCCGAGCCCGTTTTGGGGACATCGCCATCGATGATGTTAAGCTAATGACAGGCAAGGATTGTGGAATGGGTGAATTCACCACAACCACGGAGATAACAGATGCTACCGAACCGGAGCTATTTTTTTCCATGATGAACTGCACCGGTCGATGTGGACAACCGATAAATCCAGGAAGGATTGTTATATTCTCCAAAAGGGGCTTGACTTTGGGCTGTGGCTGTGACGATGACTGCACGAACAATGATAATTGTTGTTTGGACTATGTTGAGGAGTGTGTGAAGGGAATATATTCATCGCCCAATGATTATGATGTAACCTCCCCAATACCTACGATTACAACAACAACTACACCTACAACTAAACCAACAACTACAAAAACTACACCAACAACTACAGCCACGACAACAACTACGACTACTACAACTACACCAAGACCTACAACGACAACAACCAGAACAACTACTACGACTACTACACGAAAACCAATTGTTATAACCACTAGACCAACAACAACAACTACTTCAACAACACCTAAGCCCACAACAAAAAGAGCAACCTCCAAGAAGCCAATAATAACAACAACAACGAGAAAAATTCAAGTTAACACAACAACATCAACACAAAGAACAACAACTAATAAAATGATTAAAACGACAACCTCCAGTACCTCAACAACTGGAAAAATTATTACAGACCCGACAACTGTTAGTACCAGACTTATTAAAGGTAAGAATATAAAATTACCATTATTTAATTATCCGATTTAACGAATCCAAAATTGTATTATGATAATATTATATATCATATATATCTGAAACCCGATAGTCAGCACCACTGAGCCGACAAAGAAGCGCATTACTTGGAAGGTAGATCCGGACGATATTGCTGGGCATATGCCTGTTCATGGAAATTCACCCAATCCGGCCTTGATGGTGTTATACCTTCTCATCGCTGTTGTTCTGGTGTTAGTCCTTGGCAATATCGCCCATCGATGGGTAATACCACTGGCTGATGGAAACCGCCGGAACGAGAAGTCAGTTAGCTTCAAGAGAGCAATCGCCGGGTTAAGGAAGCCGGGTAGATTTTCAAGAAATCGTAGAAGCGGGATGGATCAGCCATTGTGCGATACCGATAACGAGGATGGTGATTACTTCGAAACGGATGGCACGAGATTCGAGGAAATGGGCGTAGACATACGGAATGGAACAGATCTATAAGGGCCCCGCTGGGTCTCTAAACTAACCTCTTCAATAGGGGACGCCCTATCAACATTGTACATATATGCCTATTGTATAGGAAAATTTGTAAACAATTTGTGCAAGAAAAATTACCATACAATAAATATTGCGAAAAGAAAACTCAAAACCCTCAAGATATTAAAAATTGTAATAACATAAAACACATATTTATGAAACCCTATTATTTTGTAGAGAAGAACTAAAAGATAGTCATTTATTTTGAAGAGAATGTCAATCAATAATTACGTTTTAATAGCCATCATTTATTCTGCCAAGCAATTAAAGCATATTTAAATGCGAACAATTAAATGATAAAAACAAGCCATTTTGAACATATTCATCGACAACCAGGCATTGCCTAAGCGTGTGCAATGAAACGGATCGAAAATGTTTCAAATTTTATATTATTTGGCATAGAATTTCTTTTTAAATGTTTAAAAATCAAGAAAAATAACGTTTACATAATATTTTGTACACATATATTACTGTAATTTTATAAATAATCATATAATGGAACCCCATTAGCTATTTTAAACTTCCATAAACATTAACGGTGACCCTCTTGCTTCCATAGAAATACCAATTACTGAAGAATCCATATTCGCCTTTTGGGAATGGCAAAATCTTCGTGAGTTGATCGTTCATGTGCGCAATGGATATTTTGTCGATTATAACAGTCTGCAAAATGCATTGAATCATAAAGTAAGATATATATTTTCTCTTTAGATGTACTCACTTCAAAGGGACAAGTATGATTTATATTGGAAAATGGTAAGAAAAAGCTATAAAAATATGTCGCCACTGGTGATGAAGTTGGATTCTTTATAAGTTTGCAAGCATCAACTGTGACGTTATACAGAAATGGTTTATAACCATTGAGTTTTTATAAAGGGCCAGATTAGCCTGCGATGGGAATTAAGATCGGTCACTATATATATTTTTTATCAGGAATTTTGATTATACCTTGATTTTATTGGCGGGCCCCTGATTAAATTTCATTTTCAAGGATGCAAATTTATATGTTCGATTTACAGATTTTAAAAGACAGTATTCAAAAGAGCAGAAGGATTCACCAAAGCAAGTGCAATTAATATTTGTAAACTCAAAGTCGGAGTATGTCTTCAGAAAAAGAGAGAGAATTAAGTTAGTGTTTAGAGAATTAATGTTTGTAACCCGTATAAACATAGATGATTTGCGCGACATTGCGAGTGGAAATAAACTTACAAAGTGCGAATGAAATCACAGAGAATGATAAGTTTAACATATAATAGCTCCATTTTAAATTGTATAAAAATGATGTGCTTTTTATGTTCATTTCTATTAAGCAATTGAGCGTTAAATACAAAGCAAATTGATTTAGGATAGTGTGCCAAATACATTTACGGTGGCCCTCTTGATCCCGTAGGAATACCAAATGCTGAAGAAACCATAATCGCCTGGGGGAAATGGCAAGACCTTTGTGAGTTGTTCATTTATATGGGAAACGGGAGCTCTGTCAACTATAATGTCTTTCTGGAAAATGTACCCAATAATAAAATGAGCTATACATATATTTTTATCCTCAAAGACTACTCACGTCATAGGGACAGGAATGATTTATATTGGAAAAGGGTCCAAAGAGGTTGTAAATAAATGCAGCCACCGGAGATCCCTTTTTGTTCTTGATAAATTTACAACCATCGACGGTGACATTGTAGAGGAATGGATGGTAGCCATTCAATCGTTTATAAAGAGCAAAATTTATCTGTAATCGTTATGGGGATCAATTAATGTTTCCATTCAAATGTAAAACATACTTTTATTTTATATGCAGGCCCCTGGTGTATAACCGCCTTTATAGATCCATATTTATAGGTTCGATTCATAGACTTCAGGAGGCAGTGGTCAAACGAGCAGTAGGATTCATTCAAAGAAGCGCACTTAATATTTGTAAACTCGAAGGCTGAATGGGTCTTTGGTTAGGTTAAACATTTTACAAGGTTAAACATTTTACAGAAATACGGTTTGTAACCTACTTTACTGATCAGAAAATTGATCAGAAAAATCCGAATAAACGCAGAGAATTTCCCAAGCATCGCGACCGTTGGAAAATCGTGAATATAATGTTTAGGGGAAACATTTGTAACATATTTAATATACATACTGTTCGGAATAGTATTTAAGCCACATGAAATACAA